CTACAGAGCTTCATGTTATTTGGGTGATAAAAGCATAGACTTAGTTGGCTGTGGTCATTAAGTACCTTAGACACAACATAGTCATAAATATGGATTTAAAATATGTGTAGCCTTAAATATGTAAATACTTGAATAGCGAATATTTTGTGGATCCAGCAGCTTTCTGCAGAAACCTGAAGTTAAGTGCAAACTTGAATATAGACTTTAAATATTTATTAAATATTAAATCAATAAATATTTATTGAATATCTCCTATGTTATGAGAAGAAAGGCTTCCTGCAGTTTTAACCTAGATCTCTATATTCTATCCCATTCCTCTTTTGATTACAGATAATACAGCCATTCCCTTTTTAGTTAGGAAACTAAAATAGCCCTCATCCAGTCGCTAACACATCAGCCTTTCATTTTCCTTTAATAGCAGTTATCTGCTGTTAATCTGAAATTATTTTGCTTACTTGCATTTTGTTCGTTTCTTCCTTTTAGAATGTAAGTAAATTCTATGAGGGCAGAAATCTTGTCCGTCTCCTTTACTCTTGAATTACTTGGGCCTAGGGCATATGGGGCTGTACACAGATACTGAGTAAAATATTTGGTGAATTAATGAATTTTAAAACTAACTAAATGTGTATAATCCAAAAAGCAAATTATGATTATTAATTTCAAACTTCTTCCTTGGTAAATCTTTTACCAAGACTGTTAATTCTTCCCCTTTTTTTTGGAGACAGTCTCCCTCTGTTGCCCAGGCTGGAGTGCAGTAGCGTGATCTAGGCTCACTGCAGCCTCCACCTCCCAGGTTCTAAGCAATTCTCCTGCTTAGAGTAGCTGGGTGCATACCACACCCGGCTAATTTTGTATTTTTAGTAGAGACAGGGTTTCGCCATGTTGGCCAGGTGGTCTCGAATTCCTGACCTCAAGTGATCCACCTGCCTCGCCTCCCAAAGTGCTGGGATTGCAGGTGAGCCACTGCACCCGGCCAACTCCTCTTTTTTATAATCTGGAGTTACTAACAAAATAATTTGATAAATGACTGTATACAGTAGCATCTAAATGATATGTATACTGATCAACCTCTGACTAATCAAACTTGTAAATTAAGCCATCATTCTTAATGATGTTGGTTTCTTTTTTGATAGATGAGTAAAAAATTATTTCTGTGTAAAGGCCTATTGTCTTTTTATTTTTGTATCCACTTTGCCTAGCACTTGATAGTTCCTTATTAGTGGGTTCTGAATGAATGAATGATAGTCTTAACGTCTTCCAGGTTTTTATGACTCTTTGATACTTACAGTGCATGCTTGTAGTGTTTTTGTACCTAGCAGTATCTGTTGTTTGTCATTAGGAACCTGACAACAGGCCCCTGGATGTGTTTGTATGTGGCTTTTATTCCTTGCTTAGAGTTGGGCCATCTTATTAACATCAGTTGGGTGCTAGAGAAATGATCACATCCCACTGTGTCTGCATTATTTTTTCTTATTATGTTATAATGGTAATATCACACCAGGTTTAGAGAATTTACTTTGTAGTCCTCAGTGATAGACTCAATGCTTAGTATATTAAAAGATACAGATGTAGATAGACATGTACATGTACATAAAGAGAGAATCTGTTTTCTTGCACAATGACCATTTTAGGATCTACCTCTGTCTCTAACAAAACTAAAAGATTTTATGAAATTATCTCAGTTATTAAAAATCATCCTCTGAACTTTGGGTTTTCTTCAGTTCTCTCCCAGCATTTAGATTACTTTCTCTTTTGAGTAAATACTAATTTTTAAAAGTCATTTTAAAAATTCTGGTGACTGAATATATGAGCCTTTTCTGCAGATGTTGGCCTCTAAGACAGTCTTTTTATGCATCTTTGTCTTCCTGTTCTAAGGTCTTTGCTGAAAGCATCCCACTTCCCCTTGGCAGTGCTTCTTAATGGGTGTATTCCTCTTCTGTCATTTATTGTTTAGTTCTGTAAAATGCTTATGTTTCATCCTGAAGAATAGGTTGGGAAGGAGATGACACATTGTGAGTGCCTTGCCCAGACACATGATGTATTTGTCAAGCAGTATAGTTACAAATGAGCTGTGAGTTAAATTCTAGTGAGTGGCAGCTTTGGTTTTCAAGATTTCACTTTATGTCTTAGTCTGTTTACACTACAGAAATGTGTTGCTTTTTGTTTTTGAGACAGCATCAGTGAGACCTCACTGATAATTAGAAATTTGTTTTAAGTGTCAGATAGAAATAAGCAAAATGGCATTCTTTGTATGTGGCAATTGATGTAGTAGACTAGGAGTGAAGGAGAAATTAAAAAAAAAAAGATGTTAGCTGGATTTTTTTTAAATGGGGAGAGAGATCATTCTTATTTTTGTTAAATATTTAAACTTTAAAAATCACTTCAGTGTGAAACAATTTTTAAACAAGAATAATGGAAATGACAAGAGGCAAGAGACTGAGGAATGATTTAAGAATAATTGTGGGTGTTTAAGGAGAGAGCCTTCTTCCTCTCATTGTGATCTCCCTTTGGGGAAAATGGTAAAACAAAGGCCAGCAAATTTAGGAGGAAGCAGGAAATCCTAGTTAGTGGCTGTCAGTTGAATATTTAAGAGCAACGAAAATACTTCTGTTAGGTTTTAATGCTTTTTTCCCCCCAAATTTTTTTTTCTTTCAGAAAGACATGATTTTTCATCTCTGTTTCCTAGTAAGTGTGCCACTAAATAAAATTTGGAAGCCATATATTGTGATGTGATTATGCAAAGCCAAGTTACATTTTTAATTTTGTGGTTTGAGGAAAACCATTCCAGAATTTATTTCACCACTTCCTATGCCAGTACTGTCCCACTTCTCAGCCAGAACTCTTTCCCTCCTCTAAATAGGTAGAAAAATGAGAAAATTTAGCATCAAATAATAGAACCAAGATAAAAGTAAGGAATCCTGCCTGATCCTTGTGTTATGTCTCCTCTAGCCCTTGTAGTTTACTTCCTGGTTGAAAATATACAAGACCTTTTTGAAGTAAAATTTTCATTTTATGATTATATTAGGAAAGCGGATTCTGGGACATGTAGTGAAATTATCTCTAGCACAGGAGTTAGGAATTTTTTCAGAGATAAATTGCTTTCCAGATATGCTCTAAGTTTTCAGCCATAATGGTCCTGGTCTTTGCATTTATTTGCTTTTGTTTACTTGTTATTTTTTGTACCATGTTGTAGTTCCAGAAAGTGCTAAAAAAAATCACGTATTTAAAACAAACAAACAAACCAGAAAATCCCCTCATCCTGGGGCTGTGTGAAGAAGAATGAAGCCCTCATTTCCCAGTACCCAATCATCAGCTTGAGCTGGCCTCTCCTAGGAACAGAATTTATTGAAGCAATTTATTCTGGCTAAATGTGATATAAATCTGTGTACATGTATGTACGTACAGGCTCTGTTCCATTATAGCAGTGCTGTAGCGTCAGTTTCCTTCCTAGTTAGATCGTGTTTCTATCACACTGAAAGATGACCAAGAAGCCCCTTCAATTTTATGGGGAACCCCACAATTTTAAACACCAATTATTTGTGGAATTACTGATTAGACAACCAGAAATACTGGTTTCTCACCCCAGAGTGCGTCCTAAGAGAGTAGGAGAGATGTTACCTAGCTACCCACTGGGTTTTAAGCATGGTTTTCCGATTACCAGATTCAGTCTAGCATGTTAACATTTTATTTCAATGTGAGCCTGACAGATTGTCCTGACATTTCAATTTATTTCCAAGATAAAAATTTAAAATTTGGTTGCAGTTCTGAAGTCATTTCCAGGCATATTCAAATTGTAGTTCCTCTCTCATCTTCCCTGGTTCATATTCTTTTGTATACCTTTCTCTTTTATGGAAGGATGTTTGAAAATGTCATTTAGGAGTTTATAAGACTATTTTTATCCCCCACTCCATTTTTTTCTTCCACTCTTGCAAAATACTGTTATCTTTTAGGAATTGTTTTTACTATAATTTGCATTTCTAATCTTTATCCATCTCCATTTCTATTTTTATTTCTAGTTGGGATATGAGAAATTTATCCCACACATTCAGATTGGAATTACTGTTCTTCAACAAAGAATTTCAATAAACACTTTGAGAGTTTAGCTTCAATAATTTAAAAAACAGTATAAACCCTGTTAAAGTCTTCAGAGAAATAGAAGGGATGGATGGTGATGCCTTTTAGTGCCATTTCTTTTATCCCCTGCAGCAGCACACATCTGTTGGCTGCAGCAGAGCAGCCCAAGAACACTGGCCGAGAGCAGCACAAACAGCCGGAACATATTCACCCAGCAAACCCCCAAAGAGTCGACATTTGTTTTATTGCTGCTTTTAAAAACCTAGCCATAAATAGAATCAGAGGGGGGAAGGGCATCGATATTTCTCCATTTGCCACAGACGATTGGTGGGGGGAGTAGGAGGCTGCTGGGTTTTATTTTTATTTTTTTATTAATGAAAACCATTTCCTGTGTAGCCCAATAGGATGGGTGCTTTGTTTTCTTTGGCAATAATATGGGATAAACAGCCCTTGCCAACAGTCTCGTAGTTTATACACCAGGGAGCCAGATTATGGCCCTGTAAAATGGAGCACCCCTCCTATAATCCCTTAATTAATTAAATGACAAATTTTGTTCTTCTCTAGTTCAGAAATATGGCTTCCGCATCGAGCGTTCCGTGAATTTATTGACATAGGGAACTGCACTAGTTGTAATTCAGCAGATTGGAGAAGTGTGTTATATACTGTAGTAGAAAGAGGGAAAATCTAGCAAAGGTTTTAAATTCCTTGACTATTTAGATCTCAATCTTTCTAATTAAAAGTTTCAATTGAGGCACAGTAGATCATATGCCACCTGTCTAATGGGTCTCCCCAAAGTAGCCTGTGTTTACAACTTTGATAGATGGCATTCGTGGAACACCTGTTTCTAGGGTTGATATTTTTGAAGCACTTTTTTTTTTGCTCCAGCATATTTAACATAACTTTTTCCCCCACCTCCCCCTCCTCAGCTCCGCTCTGCTATATGAAATATGGGAGACGACAGACCGTTTGTGTGCAATGCCCCGGGCTGTGGACAGGTACGTTTACAATATACTTTATTGTGAATGTCTCGTTGTGAATCAAAGTGGCTGTTTTATCACTAAGGCAAAGAGTTTAAAGCCGGTATTTTACGTGATCACTGGAGGTAATCAGATCAGAGGATTTGCAGTGTGTAAATCCAAGTTATGAGGAAGTGTAGGCACTCTACTGTAATGAAATCTGCCTTGCTCTCTTCCATATTGTTATTCTACTGGTGTTTGTTTCCCACCACACAGTATGGAAGAATACATGTTGCTCTCTCCTCCTTCTAAAGCTATCCATCTAAATACAAAGCAAGTTTAGAAATGTTTTCTCTTCAGGCGGGGTGCACTGGATCACACCTGTAATCCCAGCACTTTGGGAGGCCGTGACAGGCAGATTACCTGAGGTCGGGAGTTTGAGACCAGCCTGGCCAAAACCCCATCCCTACTAAAAATACAAAATTAGTCAGGCGTGGTGGCACATGCCTATAATCCCAACTACGCAAAAGGCTGAGGCAGGAGAATCGCTTGAACCCAGGAGGTGGAGGTTGTGGTGAGCCAAGATTGTACCACTGCACTCCAGCCTGGATGACAAGAGTGAAACTCCGTCTAAAAAAAAAAAAAAGATGTTTTCTCTTCAACTTGCATGGATGTAAAAGTCTGCCAGCTGAGAATGTACACATTCATTGTGAACCTCAATTTGCCAGAATCTATTTGAATTTTGTAAATAAAGAAAAAAAAGTCTCTTTTGACTGTTGATCCAGAAAATCATTGTTAGCAGCTACAGCAGTTATCTATCTAGGAAAGACAAATCCAATATAGAACTTGAGATCTCACAGCATTATATAAACATTTTCTCTGTGTAATGCCATAAATGCATTGTTCTATGTGTCAGCTGTCACATAATTATATTCATATGTGTATATCGTATGTCATTTTTCATCATATGCCTTTTTAATAAAGTAATTTTGTTGAAGTTGCCTTTTTTTCATTTTGCATCTTCTTAACTGTTCTTCCTAGACCTTCCCCTATTGCCGTGTTCCACAAAGGATGAAGAAAGGAATAAAAAGGAAGTTTTATTTGCCTTCGTTAATTCATTTTATAGAACTTAAAGGGTTGAGTTTCTGTTCACTTAGGAATGTGTCATGTGACTGTCCACTGACACCGGTGGTATATGAGATTACAGACTAGTTATATTAAACATTGTAAATATCTGGACAAAAAGAAGAGCTAAATTTCAGAGATTCCTATGAATTTGAGAGGTAGATAAAATGGGGATGGTGACAAGGAATGAACAGAAGGAAGATTCCAAATTCCAGTAAATGCTAAAATTTTCAAAAAAGACCAATAAGGCATTGTATTCTTCAGTATTTGGCATCCTAGGGTGGATTTCCTTTCTTTTTTATTTATTTATTTATCTTTTTTATATTTTCCCAATGGCTTTAGCAGTGAGCTTTTGCAGCAATACCTTGGGAAAGGCTAACGGGCCTCCCTGCCTCAGCAGATTTCCTTTCATGTCAAAGTTTTCAACTTTATTATTAACTGCATGTTTTCCCATTTTTTAAAAAATATATATCCATATATGGATATATATGAATATTTTCAGTAAAAGCCAGTTGGGAAAATAGAATACATTTGTTTGACTTTTCAGACAGCTTTATTAAAATACATTTCTAAAAATGATCTCTCCTAGCCCAGTGTGGTAGCTTGTGCCGTAATTCCAGCACTTTCAGTGTCCAAGGCAGGGCATTTGCTTGAGCTCAGGAGTTTGAGACCAGCCTGGACAACATAGCAAGACCCTGTCTCTGCAAAAAAAAAAAAAAAAAAAAAATTAAAAATTAGCCAGGCAGGCCGGGCGCGGTGGCTCAAGCCTGTAATCCCAGCACTTTGGGAGGCCGAGGCGGGTGGATCACGAGGTCAAGAGATCGAGACCATCCTGGTCAACAAGGTGAAACCCCGTCTCTACTAAAAATACAAAAATTAGCTGGGCATGGTGGCGCACGCCTGTAATCCCAGCTACTCGGGAGGCTGAGGCAGGAGAATTGCCTGAACCCAGGAGGCGGAGGTTGCGGTGAGCCGAGATTGTGCCATTGCACTCCAGCCTGGGTAACAAGAGCGAAACTCCGTCTCAAAAAAAAAAAAAAATTAGCCAGGCATGTTGGCACATGCCTGTAGTCCCAGCTACTTGGGAGGCTGATGCAGGAGGATCACATGAGTCCAGGTGTGTGAGGCTGCATGATCATGCCACTGCACTCCAGCCTGGGCAACAGGGCAAGACACTGTCTCAAAATAAATAAATTTTTTAAAAAATGATCTTTCCAAATTTTTACATGTGAATCAAATAATACTATTTACTCTGATGCTTGCAACCAATACCTGGTACCTTTTTAAATTCTTGCTTTTACACTTTTACTTGAAAAATATGCATTTTTGGTGAAAAGATTTTTCTCATACTTACCATTATTTTTCTTCACTTATTATTTAAGCTACTCAACTCCTGAACTCCCCTTATATGTTATATGCTTAAAACCACCGACAAGGACTTTGCAAAGAAGTAGAAATAGATGGTAAAAATAAGGAATACACAGGAAAAGCATCTCTTTACGCTTTCCGAGGAAGAAAGATATAAACATCTCTTCAAGCTGTCTCATCAGAAGAGAGCAGTGTCCACTGAAATTTGTGAAATGTCACAGATTTGTGAAATTTGTTTTTGTTTTGCTCTGTTTTGGACCAGAGGTAGGAAAATAGTAGGGACTCTTGACTTTGGTTCCTTTTGGTAAGGTTGGGTTCCATTTACCAGAAGCCATTTCCTTCCCCCACATCTCTCTCCTGTTCCTGAATTACTCGTTGGTATTTTGATTATTAGGATTCATTATAACCTCTGGCTTAGGTTCTAAAAGCTTTTTTCCCCTCAGTAGGAAGGTGAGTGTGGAACATTGCTACCTTCTTCTTTTGGATTCAAGGTACTTGTTTCATAGAAAAAGGATACAAAAGTACAACTTAAGGCTTTGAAGGTAGTATGATTCATCTCATCCCTTTACCTCCTTTGCATGTCAGATCTTTATAGTCAGGTAAGATTATAGCTCTTTAGTTATATTTAGTCTCTTCCAAGTTTTTCCCACTATCTGGTAACAAACAGCTCTAGATTGGGATCTCTACAAGATTTACTGTGATTGCTTTATGTGATATGAAATAGTGAAAATCTGGCAGAGAAAATAAATTTGGTAAAGTGAACTACCCTTGACCTGTCATCCAACTTACTTAATATCCCTTGAGAATGGTTTCATTCTGGAGCCACCTTGAGCCTTTGAAGCTATTTATAATCCATTTGTCATTGATTCAAGTTCTTTTTTCCAGAAATGGTAGAATAATAAAAAGGCTATGTAAGTCCCAGGATGGGTAATAAGGACCATGATAATTTTTGCAAGACATGGTTTAGAACCTGCTACCATAGAAGTCTCAAAAAGCAGTGGTTTCTACCAGGTAGAGGAAGTAGGAATGAAAACAATTATAATTCAGGATACTGTTTCTTAAAAAACAAACAAAACTATAGGAATCTTGCATTATTTCAGTATCTGTTCATTGCCCAGACTTTACCCTATACATTCCTAAAGTCAGACATCATCCTCTGCCTTAATATTAAGGGAAGGTGAAAGGAAAATTCACCTAAAATAGACTAGTGGATTATGCTCTTCACTATATAATCAAAACCACTAGGCTTTCAATGGATACGTAAACATGTTTTGGTTGCTAGGTCTTTAATGGCTGTTATTTTTGGATTCTGTTCATGATCCACTTCCCAACAGTAAGTCTGATGTGACACAGCTGAGTTCTAAATGTGCTGCATGTACTTTAAAAAAAAAGCTGCTGAAGGTTGTGCTGTCTGCATTCTTACCGGAAAAGACAGGTGATAGGGTTTTTTAGGCCTGTTAATCCTATTCTCCTGTTGAGATTTTTTTGTTTCTCTTGAGGCCTCATCAACCTTATGAAGAGGAACTCAGGGAAAGCAATATCTCTGCTAATACCTTTCTGTGGAATGTGGTAGCAGGAGTAGTTAATAGAGCTGCCTCCTGAGAATGGAGTTAGTGTTGTTAAGGCAACAGTGCCCCAGATACCCTCTTGGCAGAGGGGTGGTTGAATCTGAGTTGTATTCGTTTTTGAAATGTTTATAAGATAACATCTTAAAGACATTGTGACTATAAAACAGCTTTGTATTGTTAAAATAATAGAAATATAGTTTGGTACTGAATCTGTTAATAGGAAGTCTTAAAAGTTTTTAATACTTTTGGAGGACACTTTTACTTGAATATGGATTATAAAGTTGTTCCATTGCATGTGGAAGCAGGAATACATACTATGTCTCTGTCACTAATCTTGAATTTTAGATGTTATTTCATGTGGATGCATTATATAACTTACCTTTAGGATGCTTTATGCCCAGTTTTTTATTTCGGGGATCAACAAATTCTTTATTCCTATGCCTCCCTCTCAGGCACATGACACAGGTTTGCAGTATAAGTTATGAAATTTAAGTAGTCCTTCTGGTTACCATAATCAAGTGTTTGAATAGAAGCTGGTCATAATCAGCTTATTTCTTAGAATGTCAATTTCCTTAAGAACAGGAACACATTTCCTCTGAGGAAATATTACTTATGGAGAGTAAGTATCATCCTGCTCTTAGTCAGTAAGAAACGTTTCTGTCATAACTATATTCTCTATCACCTGTCCTTTTTTTATTTATTTTTTTTGAGAGGACTTTCGCTCTTATTGCCGAGGCTAGAGTGCAGTGGTGCGATCTCGGCTCACCGCAACCTCTGCCTCCTGGGTTCAAGCAATTCTCCTGCCTCAGCCTCCCTAGTAGCTGGGATTACAGGCGCCACCACACCTGGCTAATTTTTTTTTTTTTTTTTGTATTTTTAGTAGAGAAGGGGTTTGGCCATGTTGGCCAGGCTTGACCTCCCAAAGTGCTGTGATTACAGACGTGAGCCACTACGCCCAGCCCACTTCTGTCCTTTTAA